TTATGTGGTGGTGCTTTACGTAAAAGCACCCATAGACAGGTTTGTCATTTTATTGTACTGAAGTTACAAATGTCCGGGTTTTCTTCTTTTTTCACGTCTGAAGCAAAAAGGAAGGTGTTTTCATGCAGCGTAAAAATGCAAATGGCGTATCATACGGCGTAAAATTGTACGGCGTAGGTGTTGCGTAAAATTTCACTCATCCTAATCTTTGCGAGATCTACCTCTCGGGACTAAAAGGTAGAGAATTATTGTAGGCGTTAGCTCAACGAGTCGACAGGCGCGCCGAACCTTCAGGAACATGCACTTCTTGAATGGGAGCAAATACGGTAGTTAGTGCGCTTACTAACTTACCAGACAGTTAGGGTGTCAAATCCATCCCCTGTATAAAGAAGCGACGATACGATGTCGCGCCTATGTAGTCACGTGCCCCCAATCCTGAGACACGTGTACTCATCTAGTGGACAAAACTGATGAGAGAGTTGTTGACTTTCTTCCCTCTCAATGCATTTGGATATATGCCTCCATTCCTGAGACATGTATTTCTATCTTAGGGACTTCCGGCTCGAATACCGGACCATTTCGGCTCGAATAACGAAACCCCTTTTTTCATCTTTTACTTTGTTAAAGTCAGGCTAAAGTTTCAATGACCTATCGAGGGACTTTAGACCAACGATGACACGACTTAGAGGAAATCCTCCCCTTTTATCCTTTTTTAAAACCGATCTCTTCTCATGACCTGACATCACCCAGAATACTTTTACTTGTAAGAGCGTTCTACAATTGCAAAGGATCAATCTAGATTCTTTATCGCGTAAGACTAGGAAGGACTTTTTCTAGCCTTAATAGCTACTTGTTTCAAACACTTAGCGAACCAAGGATTGTTTCGACATCCTTAAACATTACTGAAAGATTCTCTATCCTTAGAGAACTTCGGAGAATGAGTCCCAGATTTATTTCCTTGAATACTTTGATCATCGTCTATTCTAGACTCGATCAAAGTGGGGGCTAACTGTAGACATCTACTTTTGGCCTCCTATCCCGACAGGAAGTGCAATGACGATAAATAAAGCCATCTTCAAGTTGGATCAAAGTGAAGAATACTTATGGATAACTGTTAAGCCATAAAACACAAAATACTAGCTCAAATTAAAGAAAAAGCCAAAACAAAGGTCTAATTAACTAAACCCTATCATAATTAGGCTATAAGTCCGTGCTTAAACCCTAATAATGACGGATTTAGGAGCGCCTAGGTTAAAACTTAGTGCTGCCGCTAAAAAAGTCGCGCGCATCTCACAAAGTCGCGCCAGGCTGCCGCGCGCAACTATTTCAATTGCGCGCGACACCTAGCGCAACTTTCAAAGTTGCGCTGCGGAAGATTTGTAATTATTCAAAAATTATATGGAAAATATAAAATCGAATCTTACCATAAAGCCGCGCGCAAGACCAATAGTTGCGCTGCACATAGCAGCGTAACTCTATAACTTGCGTTGGGTTGTCGCGCGCAACTTCATCTGTTGCGCGCGACACCTGCTACGGAAGATTGCTCGAAACCCTAAACCTAATCATTCTCTATAAATATGAGCTTAAACAGAGGCTTCAACATACAGAAAATTAACCTAAAACTCTGGCGAAATAACTTGTGAACTTGTGCAACCTAGCCCTCTTTTCCTAAACACTCACCCTTTCGATACTTTGTTACTATGGTGGAGGTTCCTCAACAAGAAGGTTTCCATAAGTGTTCTAAACGGAGATCTAGCAAAGAGAAGTGGTAAATTCCCGAGCACTTAGTTAAATCACCTTTATTTTTCTTGTTTAAAAGGACTTTAATTAATTAATTAGTGTTGTTTGATCACCTTTAAAATAATTAATTAATCAATTCCACATAGTATCTTGCGTTAAATAAAGACTGGAATTGAATTAAATAATTGTTGGTTGATCACTTAAGCCAAGGCGAATCTTGTTTATTTATTGTTCTTTTACGAATATTATTAAATAAGAATAACGACTTTTGCAATGTAATTCCTACGTGAATTAGTGTTTGTAAATAAAATCAACTAGCATAGTTTTAGGTATCGCGTTGCATACATTATTTGGTGATGAAATTGTAAAAAATGAAGAGCTAGTAGAAGCCGTACTAGGGCTAGGATGACGATTCCCCTCTAAAAGGAACGTTATCTTAGTACCCTCGCTCCCGAACTCATTTCTGGTTTATAGACCAATTTGGGCATGGGTAAACTTATGATTTGTGCTAATTATTCCATGAACGAGGTTTATTAGTTTTTCCTAAAACTCATTGGCGACTCCTACTTGTTTCTTATAAAAAAGCGTGATGATAGAATCAATTATAATTCAAGGTCCCCCTAATAGTCAGGAATTCAAATCCTACTACACCCTAACAAGTGTAAAGTCCTAGGCTTTTAAGTGTCCAAGGGCATTTAAGGAGAGTACCCCTTACGATGGGAACCCTCTCCTTACAGACACAATAGCGTAATTCAAGAAGGAACTCAAAGAACAATAATTCTTCACCAAAAACACAAACTTCGCTCCTCAGATGAAATTTAAAGAGACCTACCAAAGGGCTCTCTTGGCGAATATGTGAAGGAATATATACTCGTCGATAATGTTGGACATCGTAGACATGAACCGGAAGGACTAATGCTCAACTTTATCAATAGGCTGAAGCTAAGGAATGGACGTAGCGTGAGATTTTGAGATAAAAGGTTGATTCATTCACTGCTGCGCCATCACTACTGTTGAAATATTGATGGGCTACTCGGTCAAGAATCCTCTTTAACCAGAAAAAGAGACAAGTGGGATGTCGACACACTTTGAAGGCTCGCACTTCAAGCTCTCCAAAGAGTGCAGGGGAATTGAAAGAATCTTGAGTATCATCTAACAACTTTAAGGGATACCAAAGAAGAACCCCTAGAGGAAGTATGGCACCTGTTGGCAATACAAGTAATGGAGCCTCAGATTAAGGCAACATCAAAGAAGCAAACACGCACCAGAAATCTAGAGAAGCCAAAGCTAAGGGCCATTGAGTCTGCAATCTCAACAAATATCCTTGTCATAACAAGAACCAGAAACAATGCTCAAAGAAAGGGGTGAAAAGCCAAGAGACACCAAAGAGGAGACACCAGAAACGAACCTCCCACAGTCCCACCAGAAGGGGAGTACAATGGTTGACCCATAACGAAGGTGATGTACAAGGGATTGAAGGAAGAATGGAGACCTTAGAAGCACCATACACAATTGGAAGATCACCACCAAAGTCTTAAGGAAGAAACTTGCCAATGAAGAAAGATCAAGGATGTAGCTCTCCACCGAAAACAAAAAAATGCAGAGCTAAAAAAAATCTAGAGAAGTTTAATAAGTTGCTTGAAAAGTACTGCAAGACTACAACAAAGACAAGCCCCTAGGCAACAACAAAGATCTAGAGTCGACGAAATCTAACAAGCCAATCACTTTAACGGCACACCAGAGACTCAAAATAACAAAAATCTTTTTATTTTAGATTGTAATCCTTGTCAGTCGACAAAGACGTTGACAGCTTAAGTGGGGGAAAAAATGTTAGAATCCAACTATCTTTGTATGTATTAAATGCCTTTCTATTGCTGTCCTATACTTTTCTTTAAGTTTTCTAAGCTTTAGGCGCAATTATTGTGTTAATTCTGTTGCAGTGTTCACTAGAATTTCTATATAATTCAAATTTAAGCTCTTTAGAGGGCAAGTGATTGTATGAAATCCTAAAGCCTTCTACCAGCGTTGCTTTGCTATTATGCTTGTATGTTGTTAGACCTTTACAAATTTTGGGCTTGTTCTCTTAAGCGGCTTAATTTCAGTTCAGTTCAGCTCCAATCAGTTTATTTCAGTTCAGTTTCTAATTTCTGTCTCTCATAAACAATTCATTTCAGCTCTATATAGTTCAGTTCGGCTCCAATCAGTTCAATTCAGTTCAGTTCACTTCAGTTCAACTTATTTTAGTGAATCAGAATAGGCCCTTTGTGTCTTACTTGCATAATAGCTTCCCTCCCAACTCATTAAATGTTATAAGATCCTAGCTCGAACTCACTTGCGAACACTTTGACTTGTCCGCTTTTTCAAGCCCTGATCACCCGCACTCCGTCACCAATAGACGTGAGCGACCTTGTGGTACAATTGCCTGCTTGTGTTGCTTGGTCCTCACAAGCATCGATCACACAAAGACTTACGCCCTTCTAACCAAAGGGCAAGAGTGCGCCACACGATCCGGTGCTAAAACAGTTAGACCGTGGCAATAAGCTCATGTCTTAAAAAATAATTACTCGCTCTGTCTAGTTTAAGTGTTATATTTTGAGCGATACATTGTTTAAGCAATTTAATATATGACTTAAATATAAGAAGAGGTAATTGGGGTAATTGGGGTAGTTCGAGTAAAAAAATTGTAACAAAAAGATACCGAGGTTAATAATTTATTTAAAAATAACGGATGTGTGAGGAATTAGATAAGATAAAAAAAAGGTTATAGTTAGTTTGGGTGGAGACTGGAGAGCATGAGAGAGGAAAAATATACTGTTCAAATGTAGTTATTTGCAATAGAAGGAAGTGTAACACTAAAAAAAAAGCCGCATTTGATAAGTGTAACATTTAAAAATAAATCGGAGGGAGTACAATTATTCTTATAGAGAGAAATTTCCCAAGTGTGATACTCCCTCCGTTTTTAAATACTTGATCCATTTCTCCATGCGCGGAGTTTTAGGAAAAATTGGAGAAAGTAATAAAATATGGAGGTAGTGGGGTAGTCGAGAAAATAAAAAATTGTAAAAAGCAAAAATAGTGGAAGAATATGATGAGAGAGAATATTATGTTGGGTCTATCAAGTGTGAGAAATGAATTAAATATTGTAAAAACTTTCCAAAAAAAGAAATGAAGCAAGTATTTAAAAACGGCGGAAAAGGAAAGTAGAACAAGTATTTAAAAACGAAGGGAGTATTACATTACTTCAATTTTTTTTTTTTTTTTTTTTTTTTTTTGGGGGGGGGGATTGATACTGACATTATGAATGTATTACTTTTGGGTAATTAAAAATCGTTTTATTTTTTAAAGACCGCTAAATGTCATACCGTATATTTTAACAATTTTTAAAATCTAAAAAAGGAAAAAAAAAAAAAACAGAGAAAAAGTGTAGATAACTGGTTAGAAGTTTAGAACCCTCATCTGAGTATCTCACTCAAACATTGTAATGGCAGTACAAATTTCTGGGGTTTGCTTTCCAAATTCTTTACCAAACAATTGTCTATGGCAACATCAACATCCTCTTAATGAAAGACGCTCACTTGCAGCTTCCGCCTCAACTCATCTGCAGTCCTCATCCACTATTCAGGTTTGTCTTTTTTATTGGATAATGTCTACTATACAATTTCTTCAGAATCAATTTCATTGTCTCAATTCCTTCAATGGGTATTTACCAATTTTTCGTATTGATTCTTCTGTTATGCTCAGTTGTTGTGTTATTGTATTGATTTTAGTGCTAAGTTGCCAACACAATTTAGAGAAATTCCATTAAGTGGCTGTAATTAGTTTTGAATGTGGTTCTGTACAACTTAATATTTGATTATTAATGGAGGGCATTATCTATTGACCCATAGAGGTGTGAAAAACTGACCCGACTCGACCAACTTACTTGACTGGACATGGCTTGGGCCAAGTTGCCAACATGACTGTAACCGGACCGAACATCTGACCAGATTGCTTTATTGAACTGTGTATATGCCAATTAACACACATTAGCTTTAGCTTGTGTTAGGTGCAATTAGGATGATATGTATGTTACCTTCTATCAGTTCTTGTTCTTTGTTGTCAAAATGCGATTATAGATAGTGGACAAATTTGTGGTTGTTTTATATTGTCCTGTTGATAACTAAGGGCTGATAAAGTTGGGATTTTAGGGTTTTAAGGTATAATTTGCCTTAATGGGTTGCTTTATGGTAATGGACTTATGAGAACAATCTCTCGTGTTTGGAGAAATGGTTTGTCAAGGTGTGGTTCATACAACATAAGCCCTTGTTGTGTTTCAGTCTGATGTTGCATACCGCTTAAATTTTATCGCTATCTCGTGTTTTGAGGCTTATGTTATGGTATTCTGATTGTTGTTTCTTTAGATATTTCTTTGCAATATAAAACACACAATTGGTACTATTATTTTGTTTTGATATGGTTCTGGTGCTGGTCTGGTTGTTGGTTCTCTAATTAAAGTATTCCTGAAGATTTCACTAGCTCATTTTACTTTGTGGCTGTATTAAAGAAGAGGTAGCTGCTGCTAGCTGATTAACTAATGTCGGAGGCATATGTTATTTGCATCATTGGATTGCTGAAATTGATGTTCAATAGAGTGAGGTCTTCAAAATAGGAAATGATGAAAAATTCTGATTGTTATGAGATCTATTGTGCTGTGCGCTGTATGGTTGTATAAGTTGCAATATAAATTATGGTTGTAATTCACTTTGAGGCTTTAAGGAATTGCCTCCAGAAGGCAAAGGTTGATGGGATTTACTGATGCTATTCAGACTGTCCGCTATTGCATAGTGCCAGTGTTAATTATGAACTATTAGGGGGACAAGCTTCCATATAACTAGCCTATATAGTTTATGAGAATCCTAGAAAACTGCTTCCTGAAGCAAAAAGAGGAGAGAAAATAGAAACAAAGACGACAAAATTGCAGTTTTTGAACGTGGCACCAAAACTGTGATAATATAACACTCTCAATAAGGGAAATCTACTGTAGGGAAGGTGGTGTAAGTTTTTCTTTCTGTGATGGTCTATTTGATTTGTTCCATTGAGAACATTCTCTTCCCTTGAAGGAGCCTTGCTACTGGAAAGAGAAAGACTCAGTAATGCTGTCATGCAGCACTATTTAATTTTTTATTCTCAAATTCTATAATTTACTTTGAAACCATCCTTTGTTTCTTTGTAACTTAACTTTCCACCCTACTTTATGTAGTATACTCTTAATCTAGCCTTCGCCTTAATATGTTTACTGTGATCTTATTGTTTGAAAGAGCTTGGTTTATATAAATACCTCTATCTCAATATAGTCATTGCAGGAAGGTTTGCACAGAGTTTTAGGTGACTTTATTAATAGAATTGTACTTCCAAATTTTTTTTAATAGAATTGTAGATGTGATGGGAGATAGTGAAGGAATTTTTAAATTGAATGAGAGGGAGTGTGTGACTTAACTTTTGATATTGGAAAGAGAGGCAATAAAATTTCAGCGAGTCCACGCTATAAAAGATCTTCCTTTACCTTGTTTAACCTCTCCATGATCCCACTCTTCCACTCTATGTACCGGTGCACCCTGGGGTCTCCGTCTTACATGCCCGAACCAACGTAGGCGATTTTCCTTAGTTTGTTTGCAATGCCTGCAACACCCACTTTCTTGCGAATAATTTCATTTCTGATTCTATCTCTTATATTGTTCTCGCACATCCTTCTTAACATGCCCATTTGTGTAGCCTCCATCTTTTCAATGTCCTCCGTCTTACAATCCCAACATTCTGTACCATAAAGCAACACTGGTTTTATGGCAGTCCTATGGAATTTCCCCTTCAACTTTGTGAAAAATCTTTAGATTGGATTTTTGCTCAAGTTTATAGATAAGATTATTTTATGTATTTTTTTTTTTTTTTTTTTTTTTTTGTATCTGATGGAAACTTGCAGATTGTTGGTGGGAGCTCAAGTTCGTATATACATGGAACTGGTTGCAGCATACTTGACAGCAGAAAGGTTGAGGATGACTGGTTTGATTTGGATAAAGATCTTCATCACTGGATTAAGGCACTGCGCCCTGTTCAGGTATGTGCTCAGAGAAATTATCTTCATAAGCTGCAACAAGAAGTATATTATATAGGTGTAAATTTTAAAATTTTCTCACACTGTAGCTATTAGCTTTGGCTTTCTGGTTTATTGTCTGGTAATCGCTTCCTTCCAATTCAACAGTGGTACCCTGGTCACATAGCTAAAACAGAAAGAGAGCTAAAAGAGCAACTCAAACTGATGGATGTCGTGGTAGAGGTACGAGATGCCAGAATCCCAATGTCAACAAGTCATCCCCAGGTAGATTATCTCTGATGTATGACTTATATTCATTAATTTAAACTTAAAGTGTGTATTATTATGTTTGTACTTGATGATTGGTGTTATCCTCAGATGGATCTATGGATTGGTAACCGCAAACGTATTATAGTTTTGAACAGAGAAGACATGATATCCACGCCAGACCGAAATGCTTGGGCAGCCTATTTTGCAAAGCAGGGAATAAGAGTTGTATTCTCTAATGGTCAACTTGGAATGGTATATGATCGACCCTTCTTAAGGATCTGGTTCTGAACACAGAAAATGCTGATCTTGTCATTGACTTCATACAGGGAAGCATGAAATTGAGCCGACTGGCAAAATCACTTGCTGATGATGTGAATGTCAAACGACGGGCCAGGGGGCTACTTCCTCGTGCTGTAAGTTGTTGAACTTTCTTGTGTGCTTTTATATTTGATGTCATATTACAATTCCAGGCTTTCCTTCTCTGAGTGGCATGTGTCTTTTTCACGAGATACTTATTGCCTCATAAATTTAAATCTCTCCCTCTTTGTTGCTGAAGAATGACCCTTTCTGTTCTTTGGAATTTGATGAAGCTACAATGTTATTTTGATGATACTTACATCAATCATTTAAAATGCTTGCATTGTTTTTTTCAGAAAATCATCAATTAGTTTCCAAGATAACATCCGACATAGAATTTTTGGCTATTTTTTTTTTCTGTAAGGAAGTAAAGCTTGTTTCTGTGCATAGTTATGTTCCCATTTTTTATGTCTTTTTAACCTCCTTTTCCTCAATGAAAGAAATTGTTAAGTGTGACCAGAAACTCTAGTGTAAGGGAACATTCTTTAAGTGAAAGTTTCAAATGTTAAAACAAACATAGAAAGATTCTACTTGGAATACAAAACTGGATGGGTAAAAAATTCTTTATCTTTTGGGATTTGTTTGTCACAGTGAAAAACGAAATTTCCTTATATAGCTTTTGATTGAATGGGCGGCTGTATGAGTGCTTAAAGGTTAAACCCTCAATGTTCTTGACCTAGGTGTGTGGTCTTACCTTTATTGAGTATTTTGGAAGGTGGTGCAGAAGAAAAGACATATCTCATTTCTTAGAACATAGCTAAGATATTAGAATATGGTATTATGACTTGGGGAAATCTGCTCTGTGTAGGATAGCAGGTGAATAAATGGCTTGATAGGATGCTCTCTGATGTAACAATATTAATATTCAGATTAAGTAATTAGGTATGACCAAAAATCTAGGATAAGGAATTAGGGATAGTGCTGAAACTTCAGTGGCTAAAATTATTTGAAACATGAGGCTGAAGCCTGAAGATAAATAACTTTAGGTTTGATAAGATCTTGTACGTTGTGCTCATTCTTCTTCCTTATTCCCTGATTTCTTTGAAGAGATTCTCCAATGCTGAAAGAAAGATTGGAAATGAATAAGAGTTTTTCTAGTTTTTAACAAGACTTTCGCGAGCTGGTGAAAGTTGGGACATTGTTATTCTAATCTTGCAAATTTACTGTTTCCTCATGGCTCTGAGAGTATGTATACATGATATGTTTAACTTGGTCGTACTGAATTTCATGATGACTTTATCAAATAGGTTCGTGCTGGAATTGTGGGGTATCCAAATGTTGGTAAATCATCATTAATTAATCGTTTATTAAAGCGCCGAATGTGTCCTGCAGCTCCTCGACCAGGTGTTACTCGACAGCTTAGGTAAGTGGTTTTATTGCAATTTCATCATGTCTTTAATCTGAGTATTATAAAATTTATCTTTATTGTCCTGCAAATCTTTATGGCAGATTGAACATGTTTGTGATAACAGGTAACAAAAAGATATTCATGATACTATCATTTTTAAACATTATATCTTGAAAACTGGTTTGAGCAGTAGGTTGTGATCAAACCTCTCACAATCGATTTCAGTTAGATCTTCTATATATACATATTTTTTTTTCCTTGTATACTTTTGGTTCATGTAGCCGACCCACTTATGAAATTAAGGCTTTGATTGATTGATTGTATATGGAGCTTTAGATATGATAGTTAATGGGAGCTGTCTTCAAATTTTGTCTCATTCTCCTCATTTTTCACATTTTTTCTTTGGTTAGGTGGGTTAAGTTCGGGAAGGACCTAGAGTTGTTAGACTCTCCTGGTATAATCCCAATGAGGATCAGTGATCAATCAGCTGCTATAAAGCTTGCTATATGTGATGATATTGGTGAGAGATCATATGATGTCACTGATATTGCGGCAATACTTGTTCAAATGCTGGCGAGGATACCATCAATAGGTTTTACTCTATCTTTTGATGTATTACAGATGGAAATTGGTTATAAAAAAAATATATTATCCCCTTTCTTATTAGTTTGACTGTCAGTATTCGGTAGTGGATGTTTTATTTCTGCTAAAAAGTTAAAAGTTTCAAATAATCAAAATTTTCCTTTTCCTCGCAATCTTTTGCTTAAATATACCTGAAAGTATTTTTAAAAGTCATAAGATGGGTTGATATTGTAAGAGGACAGTCAAGCTGGAACGAAAGACTATTCTTAGCAAGAAGCCTATTTTTTTTTAATAAAACTTTCTCATTGTTCAAGCATTTGCCTCTTGGTTTAGGTACAAAGGCTCTTTACCATCGCTACAGGATTGAGACAGACGGCCAGTCTGGTCAAATGTATGTCCATGAATTCTTGTCTGACTTCAATTGTTGATGGGAGAAACGTTGTCTTTCACAAAGTTGAAACTTTCACTCTTCCGACTGAAGGATATTGTTATATTTTTTATCATTTAATATTGATCGTCAGTCTTCTATATCTCTTACTTTGCAGATTTGTTCACAAGCTTGCTCTCAAATTATTTAGTGGGGATGTTCATCAAGCTTCATTTCGCATCCTTACAGATTTCCGGAAAGGTAAATTTGGCTGGTTTTCTCTTGAAAGACCTCCCAGGGAGAGCTTCTGATGAAACTGAAAGCAAAATGGAGAAAAAGTGATTGGAATTCAAAGGCGAGTAGTACTCTTGCATATATTGTTGTTATTGCTCATTAAAAAATCTTCAGCAGTGAACTCAGCCACAGTTAACCAGGAGATATATATGTGGACAAGCTGGGTAACCATCGAGGATTGAGCTATGTTTTGACAGCTATTATTGGGAAGAACGCGGCCGTCGAATGCTTTGCAGTGATTTCATTTGTCATGGATTACTGCTTTGTTTCTTCATATATTGAATATCTTGTATGGTACTGTACAGAGTAGCGGAGTAGCCATCCTGTAAATTTCATGACTCCCAAGAGATACACGCTATTAGAATTACACTTGAGCATATTGCAGACTGCTAGTGCATAATCAATCAGACAATGTGACGAATGTGTTGTACTATTGTATTTGTATACAGAACTATTTTTTCTGCTTTTGATTTGGTTGCAGTTTTGATTACCCAGGTATAGCAATACTGAATTCACAAGATTGAATTCGATGTTTTTCTACTGAAAACTTTGTATACATGACAAGAATCTGAAATAGTTAACTTTCAACCCCCAATTCCAATTTATAATCCTCTCTTCTCTTCTCAATTTATAATATAATAAATGTACTAGGTAGAGGGAGAAAGGAAGAGATAGATAAAGAGAGTGAAAAAAGGGTGGGGTGGCGCCCATTTTTTCATCAGAAATAGTTTCACGTGTAAAAAAGACGAAAAGTATTGAGATCATAACTATTGAGATTATATTTTGTACCATTTATGATTTTTGTAACTACCACTGATGATTTTGATAACTACCACTGAAATTGTATTGTATACCACTGATAGTGTATTTTGTACAAGTGAAGCTTCAATGGAACTAATTAACAACCTAATAAAACATTTGAACCTTTTTTAAAATACTATTATTGAAATTATATTTTGTACCGCTAAATTTACAATGACAAATTTTAAATCCCACATGAAATGACCAACCTGCCTCTGTGAGACACTTTTAATAAATATCTCTCAACCCTCCGTTTAGAACACCTCCAATATGTCCTTTGTTCCTCCCTTATTGTATGAGCACGGTGGAAACAAGGCTGTCATTGCCAGAAATATAGCTGGCGGTGGGGTTTTTTTTGGGTGGTGGTGAGGATTATGGGTGGTTTTAGTGGTTCTTGTCTTCCTATACTGTGTGGCTGTTTGTTTAGGTGATTAATGTAACTGATTATGGCGATATTATATTTATAAAAACAACAAAGGTAAACTAGTAATGATATTTTTGTCTGGGTGTAAAGCTCAATAATTGTGTGAGCTTTTACTTATTATCACAACCTTTTGCCTTAGCTTACCTCACAAAAAGTTATCCTTCCTGATTACCTAAAAAGTCACTAATAACCACTTTTCGTTTTGCAAATAACCATTTATCCTTAGCTTGCATTGTATGTATAAGCACCCAAATAGTTCAATACTATGAAAAATCATTCTTGGACTCAACCTACACATGGAGTTTTAGAATTTTAAAGGTATATGAGAATATATTTATACTCTCTCCGTCCCTAAATTAAAAGCCTATTTTTATTTATTATGCGAGTAATAAATGCTAGAAAGAGACTTTGTATTAAGGGACGGAGAAAGTATTAGTTAAGTGTATAATTTAATTTATTTATACTAGCTCAATTGTAGCTTATTACCTTTGATTTAGAATTGCACTATAATATTTAGGAAAATGCTAACGAACGCCCCGGGGGCTTTGGATAAGCTAGTTAAAAGTAGAAAGATTAAATAAAAACTAACATTAATTACACTGATTGACGCGTGATTTTGTCATGCTTTCTCAAATTAATATCACTTTAGGTAAGATTTTAAATGCTTATCCAACGCCCCGGGAGAGTTCGTTAGCAAGATTCTTATATTTATTTAATTCTCCTACATAAACCCCTCAAAATCAAGCAAATTATTACGTGGTTAGTTCCTATAAATGCATGTCTACAAAGCTTTAAACGTGCCAAAAGCAGAATTAACCAGTTGCTTGGAAGTAGAAAGTGCTGACAACAATTCTCATAAATGTCATAATAAAATCACAATTGTCATACAAATTAAAGAAAAGAAACAAGGTGAATAATAAAAGGGAACGCACAACAAAAAGAAAATCCTAAAATGTATGAAGATGAAATTTATACCAAAAAAAAAAAAGAAGTTACTTTTGCTAAGCCAGTTACACAACGCTTAGGATGTAAGCTTAATGAGTCATGCATATTGATAAGATTTATACATTGATTTGTGCATGTCATTATGTCAACTCATCTTCATTTTAACCTTTTGTGATAACCCTTTTCTTTATTTTAAGGGAATATATATATATATATATACACACTTTATAACTCTAAAACTTTAGGGCCATTTGGTTCGCAAAGGGGAAAGGGAATGATTAAAAAAAAGGGAAAGAGTGGGAATGGAAAGCAATTTCCTCATTTATTATAGGTTGTTTGTTTACTTCAAAAAAATGGAATGAAAAGTTGAAAATAATTGCACATCCAACAAGGGCAACAATCAACTCCGATCCCGCCTCCTATCCCCTGCGGCGCAGAGCTCCTCCACGGCCCTACCCCCCTTCATCGGCCCCTAACCTCTCTTCCGGCGACGCTACTCCCCTTTCCCTGCAACACCGCCACCCCTCCCTCATCTACCGCCAGTCCGCCACACCAACTCCATGGGTAAAGGTGGATTTCATCCCTCTCTCTTTTTATAGGTAATATTTTGGTAGATCTAGAAGGTTGTATGTTTTTAGAGTGTTATGTGTTGTTTTTTGGGTAATTGGAGGTTGTTTATAGGGTGGTTATGGTTTCTTATTGAGATGATTAGGGTTTTTGTGGTGGTATTGTGGTGGGTGTGATGATTTTCGTGGGTAATTGGTAGTGAATGTGGTGGTTGAGGGTTATTTCGAGTGGAGTTGGGTAGTTTGGGGGAAGATTGTATTTTTTCCGGTGGATTTGGGTAGTTTCGGTGGTGGCTGGGTGGTGGCGTCAGCACGCCGGCAGTTTTTTGGCGTCTGAGCGGTGATTTTGTAGGCGTATGGGAGGTAGTTTCGGTGGTTAGGTGATAGTTGCGGTGGTTGGGCGGTGGTGTTGGTGGTCGGTTGGTGTTTTCAAGGGTGGTCAAGGTAGTTAGAAAGTTGCACTAGTAGAAAAAACATTATGGGAAGCGGTTCAAAACCCCAAATGGGAAGCGGTTCTGAACCGCATGGGTTTAGGGGGCTTGCCAATTGCCATGTAAATGGCAAGCGGTTCAGAACCGCTTCCCATTTGGGAGAAATGGCAAGCGGTTTGGCGCCAAAACCGCTTGCCATTTGCACTTCAAATAACATTATGTCCAGTGCAAATGGCAAGCGGTTTTGGCGCCAAACCGCTTCCCATTTGTAATATTTTTTTATTTTTTATTTTTATATATATAATAATTAATAATAATAATATTACTAGTGACCTGTTTTGATATGCACATTAATATGTAATTTTAAAAATTATTATTATTATTAATATTATTATTAATTAATATTATTAATTAATATTAATAATTAATAATAATTAATTAAAAATATTACAAATTTTGGAATAATAATAATTCAATAACAATAAAATGCATAATAATAATAACATATATAAAACTCATAAATAATGTATAGTACTAATTACAAATAAGTAATATAATGTACATATGGATTTAATAAAAATAAAAAAGATATAGTAACTAAATATTAATTGTTCATAAATAAAAAAAAAACTCAATCTCATTCATTATTTAACTAACACATATACATTATATATTCTACCTAGATGCCATCAAATGTCACAAAAAAAGCCCACATGTCGCGAATTTCATCAACTTCTTCCTTTGTCAAAGGGCCTTCCCTTTGAATCTTACAAACCTTTGAAAAGAAAAAAATACCAAACATTAAACATCATTCACATATTACATAAAATTCAAACTAATAATTAAAAAATAAAAATGTATATATGTTAAATATTTCAAACATCATTCTAACTTACCCGATTTAGCATTCTACTAAGTTTTAGGACGGCTTTTACCAAAAAACGCCTATTTCACTACTACTTTGCCCGATTTCTACATTTCTTATCTAATGAGCTATTTCTCTATCATAACATGTCTATTACAACTAGTCTTAGGTGTGTAATGTTTGAAATCATAGCAACTTAGCATTCTACTAAGTTTTAGGACGGCTTTTACCCGAAATCGCCTATTTCACTACTACTTTGCCCGTTTTCTACATTTCTTATCTAATGAGATATTTATCTATCATAACATGTCAATTACAACTAGTCTTAGGTGTGTATTGTTTGAAATCATAGCAACTTAGCATTCTACTAAGTTTTAGGACGACTTTTACCCGAAATCGCCTATTTCACTACTACTTTGCCCGTTTTCTACATTTCTTATCTAATGAGCTATTTATCTATCATAACATGTCAATTACAACTAGTCTTAGGTGTCTAATGTTTGAAATCATAGCAACTTAGCATTCTACTAAGTTTTAGGACGGCTTTTACCCGAAATCGCCTATTTCACTACTACTTTGCCCGTTTTCTACATTTCTTATCTAATGAGCTATTTATCTATCATAACATGTCAATTACAACTAGTATTAGGTGTCTAATGTTTGAAATCATAGCAAATGCTCGATTTCGTTACTACTTTGCCCGTTTTCTACATTTCTTATCTAATAGGCTATTTATCTATCATAACATGTCAATTACAACTAGTCTTAGGTCTCTAATGTTTGAAATCATAGCAAATTAGCATTCTACTAAGTTTTAGGACGGCTTTTACCCGAAATCGCCTATTTCAGTACTACTTTGCCCGTTTTCTACATTTCTTATCTAATGAGCTATTTATCTATCATAACATGTCAATTACAACTAGTCTTAGGTGTCTAATGTTTGAAATCATAGCAACTTAGCATTTTACTAAGTTTTAGGACGACTTTTACCCGAAATCGCCTATTTCACTACTACTTTGCCCGTTTTCTACATTTCTTATCTAATGAGCTATTTATCTATCATAACATGTCAATTACAACTAGTCTTAGGTGTGTATTGTTTGAAATCATAGCAAATTAGCATTCTACTAAGTTTTAGGACGGCTTTTACCCGAAATCGCCTATTTCACTACTACTTTGCCCGTTTTCTACATTTCTTATCTAATGAGCTATTTATCTATCATAACATGTCAATTACAACTAGTCTTAGGTGTCTAATGTTTGAAATCATAGCAAATTAGCATTCTACTAAGTTTTAGGACGGCTTTTACCCGAAATCGCCTATTTCACTACTACTTTGCCCGTTTTCTACTTTTCTTATCTAATGAGCTATTTATCTATCATAACATGTCAATAAAACTTTCTAAGGTGTCTAATGTTTGAAATCATAGCAACTTAGCATTCTACTAAGTTTTAGGACGGCTTTTACCAAAAATCGCCTATTCCACTTCTACTTGCCCATTTTTTAAATTTTTTTTCGTTTGGAATTTGTTTTCACAAACATTGCCCATAATACACTAACAATGCAAGTACGCAAAAATTACACAAAATTGCATGAGCGGCTCGGTTTCTTGAACGGCTGCTGCAGCTGCCTAGGGTGCTGCCTGGGCTGCAGCAACAGCTGCCTTGGCAGCTCCTAGGCTGCTGCAGCTGCTGCCTGGGCAGCTGCCTAGGTTGCTGCTGCGGCTGCCTGGAAGTTGTTGCAGTTTGGTGGCTGGCTGCTTGCAGCTGCCTGGCATAACCCGAGGCAGTTGCCTCGGGTGCTCACTTTCTCATTTTTTGCATTTTGTATTAAATGACCTAATGGCTTTAGAGCAGATCCATATTAAGTAGTCTTGGGTGTCTAAGTATTTGGACAAAATCGCCTATTTGACTTCTACTTTGCCCGATTTCTACATTTCTTATCTAATGAGCTATTTTTTTTTTATCATAACATGTCAATTATAACTAGTCTTAGGTGTCTAATGTTTGAAATCATAGCAAATTAGCATTCAACTAAGTTTTAGGACGACTTTTACCCAAAATCGCCTATTTGACTTCTACTTTGCCCGATTTCTACATTTCTTATGTAATGAGCTATTTCTTTATCATAACATGTCAATTATAACTAGTCTTAGGTGTCTAATGTTTGAAATCATAGCAAATTAGCATTAAACTAAGTTTTAGGACGGCTTATACCCAAAATCGCCTATTTGACTTCTACTTTGCCCGATTTCTACATTTCTTATGTAATGAGCTATTTCTTTATCATAAAATGTCAATTATAACTAGTCTTAGGTGTCTAATGTTTGAAATCATAGCAAATTAGCATTCAACTAAGTTTTAGGACGGCTTTTATTCAAAATCGCCTATTTGACTTCTACTTTGCCCGATTTCTACATTTCTTATCTAATGAGCTATTTCTTTATCATAACATGTCAATTACAACTAGTCTTAGGTGTCTAATGTTTGGAATCATAGCAAATTAGCATTATACTTAGTTTTAGGACGGCTTTTACCCGAAATCGAACCGAAAAAAAGTAAAAACAAGTACCTCCTCAATGTGTTGGGCTTCAGTGCACCTATTGACTATGTCATGCATAAACCTCATCACGTGGAGGGCACAGTCAACGCTGTTGTCTTGTTGCCCATACTAACATGACACAAAGTTAAAATAGTCATGCATAGCCATAACTCAAGGCAATTTTATTAAATAAATCAATATATCAAGGCTTTACCTTCGCATATTTCCACGTGGGACCCGCAATCGAACGACAATTCAACTTCTTCATAACACTTTAAAAAAATAAATAACAAACAATTTAGGAACATAGCCACTCAATCACTTAGGTAATGATACAAAACAATATATAGGAAGCGGTATGTACCTATTCAATAGGTTATTCACTAGCAACTTCCTTGGTGGCCATATACGAGCCGAGTCAAAGTAGTAGATTGTGTTATTGGAAACACAAATCACCATAAGGCTCCAATGTAGACTACATGTATATTAAAGCAAATATCAATCCATCAATTGTTATGCGTCAACATCTATACTTAACAAACAAATTAAGAGTGACATATTTAAACTTACTCCTCAAAACAAGGGGCTAATAAGAACTTGTTTCCCGCACGCATTGATTCTCTAATACCCCGCTCAAGGTAATCTATCACATCACGAGGGTTATGCAAGCATTTGGTTACGGAGGTCTGCTCGGGGCATAACCACCCAACTGCTGCTTCACCATCGGGTTTACTAGCAAGGAGCTCCTGTAGTGACCTTCAAGAAAGTAATGTGTGCAAGCAATTACTAGTTGCATTGTTTTGGTACGAAAATATCAAAAATACAATATGTTTAGAAATAGTCTCGTTAATTTACCTCATGAAAGTTTGAATGATGGAAATGTTAAGCATGGAACCGGTTAGAAATTCCGTCACATCCTCTCTAGAAATGTATGCGATCGCATCCTCATCATAATGGAACAATGCCTTAGGCAAGTTCACTTGAATATGTGTACCCGTAGGCAACTCACTAACACGATTGTGAAGAAAAGTACATGCTTTCGAAAGCGACCTAAGGACATTGACTTCTACGAGTGGAGTACATGAAGCTCTCAAACTCTTATTCAACACTTGTCCTTGTTCCATCTTTGGAGGACCTTTTTCCTTGGATTTTGGCTTCTCCACCTTCTTCCTTTTAGCGGACTGAATTTCCATAGTAATCTAGTAGCATAAAAGAACATGGTCATTGCATAAAGCAATGTTAATCTAGTTACATACAAGTATTTACATATAAGTAGTGTTTACGTACTTACCCCTCCTACCAACCTCAACTGATCACGTGGCCATTGCACAAAGCTCCTGGTCGCGTCACGCAGCTTAAAAAAATCATATTCCTCTTTAGGCACCGGTAGTGGTAAGTCCTTAAACCCAGCAACTATAGAATCGATCCCGACCGAGATGTAATGGGTGCTAGTATTAGACTTAAAATGGACCTTGTCAAAAGGTTGTGCACTACCATACCCCACCAACTGCAACTGTCCACCGGTGTTTTCCCCGGGGTGAAGAAGCTCACAAGGCGTCTCTTCCTACATATTTGGTTAGGAGTTAGGACATAAGTTAAGAAATAACAAACGAAAGCCTAACATAAGAAAAGCTGATTACGTAGTGAAGTTCACCTTAACATCTGGGAAAGGTTCAGGCATCGGATTTGCTCTCTTCAGTGACTCTGCATCCATAGGACTAGGATCCTGCAAAAGTAAAATAATTAAACATGCAAACGACCTCATTATACGAACTTCATATGACATAATTCGTAGTTGTACTAAAATTACCTCTCTCTCAACTACTGGATCGTCCTCGGGGCCTCCTGGGTGACTACATGAGTCTACTGGGGTACTCGAGGGAAATGGCAAAGGCGGCAAGTTCATGTGCTTCAGAATGGCATTGAATTGACTTTGCATCTGTTCTTGCAGCTCCACGTGTATCTCCGCCTTAATTGATTCCTTTTCCTTCTCATCAATCCGATATGGAGAATTAACACTTGATCTGCGTTTTGCTGATTTGGTGTATTCTGAACCCATCATCTTCTCCCACCCTATTTGTTTCCCGCCAAAACCAATTACTCGCCCAGGGTGGTATGGTTTTCCCAAAGCTAAGGTGAAAGGATCATGTTCGATGCTTGGAGTCAGCTTGCCTTCAATCACTTCCGAAGTATGCTCGAGCTTTAACAACACAAAAATTTATCAGATCTAAGTACAATGTACTTGAAAAGGAAATATAATTAATAAGTAGAAAAATTTGCTTACAAGTGCATCTGCTACTACTTTCTTATCCGGTTGCATGACATACTTTCCGGTTTCCTTGTCCATCCCATGCATAGCACACCACCAGTCAATTGCACGATTAACCAAAGTTGTGACCGTGGAAGAAAGTGGTTTATCAGTTGATGACATTATGGATTTGGGGTATAGACCCGCTTTGACCCACTTTGGTCTTGCCTCCGCAAAGGACTTACAACCCATATGATGGTTATACAATTTCTTTCTGGCATTGATTCTAACTTGTTCACTTTTTTCCTACACATTCAGAAATATATGTTAGCATTAGCCATTGTAAGAAACTAAATATGAGTAGCCGACTCTATTGATAAATAAAAACATACAAGTGCGGTCCTAGTAGAAGATTTTTCCACAAACTTCTCCCAATCATCCACCGTTATTTGTGGATATGAATCCCACGGTTTCTTATCGTATTTCTCTTCTTCTCCATCTGCAGGCACATTTTTCTTTGGTCTTCTCTTTCTTCTCTTATGGATCCATCTCGTCCTCAAGTAACTCTTGAAGTTTTTGAATCTCTCTTGTACAAAAGCTTCAAAGACTTTTCTCTTGGCCGGCTCATCAGGAATATGGAACATACTCTGTAATTGGCGCAAACATCCACGTTAGGCAAGAGAAAAAAAATGAAAAAAAATGGGGAAAAAAAAAACCCCGTGAATCAGGCAAGGCAGCAGCCGAGGCAGCTGCAGCAGCCCAGGCTGCTGCCCAGGCAGCTGCAGCACCTAGGCAGCAGCCCAGGCAGCTGCAGCACCCAGGCAGCAGCCCCGGGCAGCTACCGGCTGCAGCCCTCGGGTTAGGCCCGGGGGAGGTTTTTGCAATTTTTTTTTTTTGCCAAGATATATATGAATTTAAAATAAAAGTGTGATTGAAATAAATACTTACCATAGTATCGTCCCAAAATGTTTGAAGCAACCCGTGAGGTATATCTGCAAACTTAAGTGTGATTGGTATTTTACGAGTTAGAATGCCAACTTGACTAGAAAATTTGTCGCGCCATTGGCCAGTAGGTTGACCTAACTCATCAAACTCAAGCACCATAGGAACGCCGGGTTTCTTGAAAGCTTTAGTAGCACCCCTACTCCTTCTGTTCACCGGTGGCTTTACCCCTCCTCCACCACCGGTTTTTTTCACTTGCCTTTGCATTTGAGTTTCACAATGTGAATCACCTACAACTTCGGTAACCACATTATCATCAATAGGTGGGGCAGTTTCAGCTATACGCTCAAATTCATCAAGCTTATGTTGGAACTCTTCATAAGCTTGGTCTTCCGGTTCCCCCATATCCGTCTCCTTATTAACATCATACAACTCGTCACCATCATCATCATCCATATCCTCATCAGAATGAAGGTTCTCATCAGGATCCATGATATGTGCACACCTACAGTAAACAAGCAAAGCATGTTGTTAGTCATCGGTAATGGCAATCAAATCTGAGGCACGAAGAAAGACAAACACTTACCCAACTTCTTTGGTTTCATAACAAATTCACATATAATCCTCTAAAAAATTCATATATTTAGTTCATATTGCATGCTTATACGTTGAAAATACAAAAAAATAAAACACTTCCCGAAATAAACAAAGTTGTTGGAGCATAAGATATTTAGTAAATAAAACATGCATTAATAAAAGTACCTCATTCGTGTATTCCCTGATTGTGGTCAGATCGAATATAAGATCTATCATCATCTACATCAGTTGCTACATCAAGTGTAGGAGCAGTGAAAGGGGGAGAATCATCAAATGCATCATATTCTTCCTCGTCCTCAACCTCTCCAACCCCTAAAATTCTCCTTTTGCCAGCCAGGACGATGGACCATCTTGGATCGGACGGGTCAGTTACATAGAACACTTGCTTAGCTTGAGATGCAAGGATGAATGGTTCAAGACTATCCCACAAGTGGCCAATATCTACAAGAGTGAAGTCATCATTTCTCACGTTGCGCCTATTATTATCGACCCATTTACACTTAAATAGACCAACCTTGAAGTCACGGTAATCTAGTTCCCATATTTCCTGAATTCGTCCATAGTATGATAATAGTGCGTCAACTGGTGATGTATCCTTCGCACTTGCAAACTCTCTTGATGAAGCCACAAGAGTGACACCACTATTTTAAGTCGATGAGGATTTCTGATCCCGACTTTCAGTCCAAAATATGTACCCATTTATATCATATCCCTCAAATGAATGAACATCTTCCTTTGGACCATAAGCTAGCCACTTTATTGTATCAGACACAGTCTCATCCAATTGACGCATCACACGATCATGGAACCACTTAAAAAACATCTTATTATGCAACTGCATAGTGCTCTTTCCCCTTTTGATGGATATTCAACACGCAAACTATCCATGTGCTCTTCTAAATATGGGTGAACCTCCGCAATATGATGAAGCACAAATAGGTAAGCTTGCATGATTTGATTTCGAGCAGCCCAGATCCTTTTTGACCCGATTGTGCCATGACCATCAAGTCTCCCTTCATGTCGGGAAGTGGGAAGCCCAATAGGTTTGGCAACGACAACATACTCTGCCACGAAATTCCCAATCTCCTCGGACACAATTCCTTGTATCATACTGCCTTCTGGATGGGCTGAATTTCTTACTTTATCTTGCAGTGTACCCATGTGTCGTTCAAAAGGGTAGCACCACCTCATAAATACTAAACCGCACAAATTAATCTCACGAACCAAATGCAGAATCAAATGCACCATTATGTCAAAAAGTGAAGGTGGGAAAAACATCTCAAATTTGCACAAAGTTACCACAACAATCGCCTGGAGAGCATCAAGTGTAAAGGGATCAAGAACTTTGCTGCAGATAGTATTGTAAAACCCACAGAGGCTTGTTATAACTTCTCTCACGTGCTTTGGTAAAATACCACGAAGTGCAATCGGTAGGAAAACTTGCATCATCATGTGACAATCATGGGATTTCATACTTGTCAACTTTAATTCTCCATTTAAGGAAACAAACCTTTTCATGTTTGACGAAAACCCATATGGAAGCTTAATGTCATACAAACAAGCACAAAACCTCCGTTTTTCTTCCTTTGATAATGTGTAGCAAGCTGGAGGTAAATACACCTTTTGGTTCTTTCCTTTTCCATCACCTTTCTTCTTTGCGATACCCGTGGCCTTTTCCTTGCGCTTCCCCTTACGGTTTTGACCACCATCTTCGTTTCCCTTTTCCTTAACCTTCGCCATCCCTACCTTAGCTTGAACCCACAACTCCGGACGAACACCCCACTCTTGCAAATCTAACCGCCCACTCTTGCCATCCTTCGTTTTTCCAGGAATGTTCATAATTGTCCCCAGAATTGCATCACAAACATTCTTCTCTATATGCATCACATCGAGACAATGTCTAACATCATGTTCTTTCCAGTACTCAAGCTTCCAAAAGATTGATTCCTTTTTAAAGAGAGCGTGTGGGTCAATTGGTTTTATTGTTTTACCAAAAACACATGGAATACCCTTCACTCTCTCATAAACCTCCTTTCCACTCAATGGCCTAGGCGCAACCCCCTCCTCAACTTTCCCATCGAAGGCCTTTTTCTGCTTATGATACGGATGATCGCGCCTAAGAAATATTCGGGTCCTCACGTACACATCTTTGCCATAGTGGTCAAGGTACACGTTTGGTGTGTCATCAATACAAATGGGACATGCTTTATGCCCTTTGTTCTTGTACCCGGACAGATTGCCATATGCAGGAAAATCATTGATGGTCCACATAAGGGCAGCACTTAAAAGAAACATCTCGTTCTTATGGGCATCATAAACGGTAACACCTTCGTCCCACATCTTTCTCAAATCATCAATAAGGGGCTCAAGGTAAACATCAATGTCGTTTCCAGGTTGCCTTGGCCCCGTTATCAAAAGTGAAAGCATTATATATTTCCGTTTCATACACAACCACGGAGGAAAGTTGTAAATCACTAAAAGTACCGGCCATGTGCTGTGTTTAGTACTAAGAGTGCCAAATGGATTCATACCGTCCGTGCACAACCCAAGCCTTAAATTTCTGACTTCACCACCAAATGCCCTAAACTTCATATCGATGTTCTTCCATTGTGGAGAGTCAGCGGGATGCTTCAACAAACCATTTTTCTTTCTTCCCTCAGCATGCCATCTCAGGTTCTTGGCGTCTTTTGGTATTGAAAATAGACGCTTTAACCTTGGAATAATAGGAAGATACCACAACACCTTGGCAGGAGGTCCTTTACTACCAGCATTGCAGCTTGATCTCTTGTAACGCGACTTACCGCAACGTGGACACTCCTCCGACTCTTCATATTCATTTCGATACAGAACACAGTCATTAGGACATGCATGTATCTTTTTATACTCCAAACCAAATGGACACATTAGTTTCTTTGCATAATAATAGGAATTAGGAAGTTCATTCCCATCTGGCAACATATCACATAACGCAGTCAACAAAGAAGTGAAACTAGTGTCACTCTAGTTATGCTTAGACTTAATGTTAAATAGTGTAAGCACGGCTGAGAGTTTTGTGTATTTTTTGGACCCGGGATACAAAGGCTTTTTGGTAGCCTCTGATAATGACTCAAATACATCAGGTCGGTCACCAAATTCACCTTCAACATCACGCATCATCTCATCCAAGTGATCATCACCACCACCATCCTCGGTGTCATCCCCTTCACCACCATCATCACTCCCATTTTCTTCTTCAACATGAATCTCGGCACTTTCAACATGCGTCTCATTGC